GACTGCCTGGGAATCAACGCCACAGATGTTGGAGCTCGTTGATTGAAGGCCTTCGACGCCGCTCACTGAAGACGCTGGCCGCCGCCGCCTGAGATCCGTAGGTTATCGCACGCTGCCAGAGAGCCGTCGCTCGTCTGTGAAGGTCATCACTTGTCCGGTGGTGTTCGTCGCTTGTCCGGTTGTCCGGTGGTGTTCGTCGCTGAGCTGCTGAGGTCGCCCCGGAGTCCGCCACAAGCCACCCCTGCGATTTCTGTGGTTCGCAGAAGGTCTAGAGGCTGGAGCTCGTTCCTGGAGCTACTGGAGCGAAGAGGGAAAGGACAAAGTTCTAACTTGAGCTGGACTTTGGAATCTGGAGCGGAGCTGTACTTTGGAGGCAGGAGCTACAGCTGGTTGCTAATTGCTAGGCTTGGAACGTGGAGGTGGACCTCATTTGGAGCTAAAGCATGAACTACACTCTGTCAATTATTTAGTCAACCATTCCAAAATCCCTTTGTGGGTGGGTAAGGACCAAACACTCTCCTAGTGTTTGGCTATGTAAGTTTTCTTTAAATGAGATTTCATTTACTGTTTTTCATTTAATTTAAACTGTTAAAATTTATTGTTGATTTAATACTTGCTAGAATTATATTTATTTGTGCTATTGTTTAGCCCTATAAATATAGAACTGTTTTTCTAGCTATAGTTGCATTTTTATTTTTTGTGTTAATTTTTCTGTGTGAAAATGTCTGCATTTAATCAGTACGGAATGGCTCCATTTAATGGAAAAACTGATTTTAGCATATGGAAACAGAAAATAAAATGCATATTAATTCAACAAAAATCATATAGGGCCATTAGTCAAACCTATTTGACTTCCGATACGGAAGAGAAAAAGGCAGAAATGAATGAAAGTGCGTGTTCTATAATTTACTTGAACTTATCTGATTGTGTGCTCAGAAAAGTAGGAATTTTAGAATCTGCCAAATCTTTGTGGGATAAACTTGAAGAGCTTTATACTGAAACCTCTCTACCGAGTAGAATGTTCTTACTTGAAAAATTTTTCAAATTTAGACTTGACATGTCCAAAGATATTGAAGAAAATCTTGATGTTTTCACAAAACTTATTTCCGATATTAAGTTGTCCGGTGACAAACACATAGATGATTATACTCCCATTGCTTTATTGAATGCCATACCTGATTCTTATAGTGATGTTAAATCTGCCATTAAATATGGTAGAGATAATATAACGCTAGATATTGTTGTTAATGGTCTCAAAAGCAAAGAGTTAGATTTAAAGCAATCTAGGGGAAGTAAGAATTCGGGTGAGGTGATGCATGTTAGGGGTAGACCTCAGAATAGGTCTCATAACCAAAAATATGCTAGTAATGGAGAATCAAGTTTTAGGAAGAATTCTGCGAATAGGAAGGGAAGATCTAAGTCTAGATCTAAGGCCAGAAAATGCTATAATTGCCATGAATTTGGTCACTTCATTAAGGACTGTCCTAAGCCTAAGAAAAATCAGCATAATGAACATGCTAATGTGGCTTTTGGTGAAGAAAAAATGGGTGATATTTTTATGGTTAATAATCTTTGTGATCATGCATGTGTTAATTCTGTGCTTTCTAATTCCCTATGTGAATCTGATTGGTTAGTTGACTCCGGTTGTACTTTTCATATGACTCCCTTTGAAAATCTTTTTTCAAATTATAAGAAAATTGAAAATGGCTATGTGTCTATGGCTAATGAAAAGAAATGCAACGTGTTAGGAACTGGTGATGTATGCCTTAGATTTTCTTCTGGCTCTGTGTTCACTTTGAAAGATGTTAGGCATGTTCCTGATTTACGTTATAATTTGCTTTCATGTGCATCCCTTGAAAATGAAGGTTTTGAGGGAAAATGGGGGAAAGGGGTTATGAAAATCATGAAAGGATCTCTTGTTATTTTTACTGCTGAAAAGAAAAATAACTTGTATGTGTGTCAAGCTGAACCTGTACCTGATTATGTGTACTCTGTGATAGGTGATAAATCTATTTTATGGCATAATAGATTAGGTCACATGAGTAATAAGGGATTAGATATTTTGCATAAAAATGGTCACTTTGGTAGTGATAAATTATCCCCTATTGAATTTTGTGAATCATGCGTGTTAGGAAAACAACATAGGGTTAGCTTCCCTATTTCTACTTTTCCTAATCAATCTAAGTGTGTTGACATACTTGAGTATTTGCATGCTGATGTGTGGGGTCCCTCTAGTGTTCCTACGCAAGGAGGGAACCAATATTTTCTTTCCATTATTGATGATTATTCTAGGAAAGTTTGGGTTTTGCTCATGAAACAAAAATCTGAAGTTTTTGAAAAATTTAAAAACTGGAAAATCATGATAGAAAACCAAACAGGAAAGAAAATTAAAGCCCTTAGGACAGACAATGGACTTGAGTTTTGTAATAAACAAATGAATGATTTGTGTGCTACTTGGGGTATAAAAAGACATAAATCTGTTCCTTACACACCCCAACAGAATGGGGTTGCTGAAAGGATGAATAGATCTCTCTTAGAGAGGGTGCGGGCCATGTTGGCCACATCTGGGCTCTCTAAGAAATTTTGGGGGGAAACGCTTAATACCGCTGCTTACTTAATTAATAGGTCCCCGTCTGTCCCCTTAGGAGGGAAGTGCCCAGAATCTGTTTTCACGGGCAAGAAGCTTGATTTGACGAACTTAAGAGTGTTTGGATGTGCGGGTTATGTGCATCAAAAGATTGATAAATTGGAACCTAGATCTAAGAAGTGTGTTTTCTTAGGGTACCCAGAAGGGGTAAAGGGTTATAGGCTTTGGGATAGGAGTGAACCAGGGTTTAAAGTAGTTATAAGTAGAGATGTCATTTTTAAAGAAAATGAATTTCCTTGTTTGACTTTACCTGTGCATGTTCCTCATAATGATGCTCCTAATGAGGTGGAGCAAGTGCCTGTTAAATTTCAATCTGAATTTTCTGCTAAAAATGATTTGCATGAAAATGTTCTTGAAAATCAAGGTGAGAGTACTTCGAATGAGGTGGAGCATGATATTCATGATGAGAATGATTTTTCTGAAAATGATGATTTGCATGACTATCAACTTGCTAGGGATAGAGATAGAAGGGTTATTAAGAAACCAGAAAGATATAGGGATTGCAATTTGATTAATTGTGATATATCTGAGTTTGCCTTTAACATATTTGAATCCCTTGAATGCAATGAACCTAGGACTTTTAAAGAGGCTTTAAAGTCTAAATATTCCAAAGAATGGATTAGTGCTATGAATAGTGAAATGGAATCCCTTAAAATTAACCAAACTTGGAAACTTGTTCCTAGACCCGCTAGTTATTCCTTAGTGGATTGTAAGTGGCTATTTAAGGTGAAGCAAGAATCTGAAAATGTGAGGTTTAAAGCTAGATTAGTAGCTAAGGGATTTACTCAAAAGGAGGGAATTGATTATGCCGAAATTTTTGCTCCTGTTGTTAAGTTCACCACCATTAGAATTATACTTGCTTTAGTTGCTCATTTTAATTGGGAATTAAAACAGATGGATGTAACTACTGCCTTTTTGCATGGTGATCTTGATAAGAATATTTATATGCACCAACCTGAGGGTTTTGTTGACCCTAAATTGCCTGACCATGTGTGTTTATTGAAAAAAGCTTTGTATGATTTAAAACAATCACCTAGGCAATGGAATATTAAATTTGACAAGTGCATGCAATCTTTAAAATTTTCTAAAAGCTCCGCCGATCATTGTTTGTATTATAAAAATATTGACTCCACGCCTATATTTTTATTACTCTATGTGGATGACATGTTAATTGTTAGTCCTTGTTTGAAGTCTATTGAGCATGTCCAAAAATCTCTGTGTGAAAACTTTGACATGAAAGACTTAGGCGATGCTAGGAAAATTTTAGGCATAAGCATTATCAGGGATAGAAAGAAATCTACTCTAGTGTTAAATCAAAGATCATACATTGATAAGGTTTTGAGTAAATTTTCTATGTCTGATGCTAAATCTGTGAATGTGCCTCTTGCTTCTCATTTTGTGTTAAGTAAGGATCAGTCCCCCAAGACTGAAACTGAAATGAATGAAATGAAAAATGTGCCTTATTCGAATGCTATAGGATCTGTCATGTATCTCATGGTTAGTACTAGGCCCGACATTGCATATGTGGTTAGTTGTTTGAGTAGATACATGTCTAATCCTGGAATGCCTCATTGGAATGCTTTGAAATGGCTTTTAAGGTATTTGAAATATTCTGTGGATGTTGGTTTGACTTTTTCTAAGTGCTCTGAAGGTGTTAAATTAATTGGTTATGTTGATTCCAATTATGCTAATGATAGAGATAATAGAAAGTCTACAACTTCTTATGTGTTTACCTTGTGTGGCTCTTGTGTGAGTTGGAAATCCCAACTTCAACCTATTGTTGCTCTATCTACTACTGAGTCTGAGTATGTAGCTGCCACAGAAGCTTTCAAAGAAGCTATTTGGCTTAGAGGTCTTTTGCATGAAATTAATTTTCTTGACAAAAATGTGGTTATATTTTCTGACAGTCAATCTGCTATTCAATTGTGTAAAAATCCTGTTTTCCATGATAGGACTAAGCATATTGATGTTAGATTTCATTATATTCGAGATATTGTTGAAAAGGGAATTATAAAATTAGAGAAAATTCCTTCAGAATTTAATCCTGCTGACATGGGTACTAAATGTTTACCTGTTGAAAAATTTGGTTCGTGTCAAAAGATTTTAAATTTTGATTTTGGATGATTTTTTCTGTGTTGCATCGGTTTACTATTAACTTACCTAGTGTTTGTTAATAGTTTGGTGTTGGTGTCCCTTCGAACTCGATGACCATTATGGTAGAGTAAAGTCCTTTATGGACTCGGCAAGCTTGGTGTGTTGGCCCCTTTGTGATCCGAGAATACATGGGGTATTCTCTTATATTACTTGTATAATCTTTGCGATAATACTTGTAATAATTCGGCGATGATGAGTCCGCGGTTCCGTGAATTGTCTCAGTGCACTACCTTGGGCCAAAGGTGGAGATTGTTAATATATTATTGGCCCAAATAGCCTTTGTATATTAATAATAGTTGACAACCTATTCAGCAACCCACTACTCTTACTCCAGTTTCCAAACTTGTTTTGTACCAAGTCTATTTCTCCCGTTTGATTTTGAACTCAAATAAGTGAGATCAAATAAGTGAGGTGTGTGATTGTGTTGTCCCTTGCACCGTCCAATCCCTTGAGCTAATAAGCCAAATCTTCTTTATTATGAGACTTCCCTGCATCCTACTTCATGTGCTATTGTTCTCTACCGACAGTTGCTCCTTCCTTGCTCTAGCTGTATATATCCACCACCTCTTGAAGCTTTTTGAGATAGACTGTGAGAACTCCTTCTTTGTGAAGCTGAGTGAGAGGAGTGTTGAGAAGGTAGAATAGGTTGTTGCTCCCTTAGCCTTGGTGTGCACAAGGAGACTACCGGAAACCGATCTCCGGCGACCTGAGCCGAATCCGGCAAGACAGAAACGGATCCACAACACCCTACATTGGCACCTAGTCCCAGCAATCGCCACCGCTACATCCTTCCCCCTAGCCCCAGCAGACCACCGCCCTCTCCAAAAAACCAAGCCGAGTGCCGATTTGAAGTCGTAGACTTCTTTTAGCCAATGACTCTTCGGCTCCATCACAATATGCAAGACAGAAATCGAGAAGAAGAAGATGAGCAGCTCGACGGCGACCTGGAGGTGGAGGCGGCAACTCAGAGGCGCTGACCGGAAGACGGAGGAGATGCGGCGACTTGGCTTCGGAGGTGGAGGCGGTACCTCAGTGGCGCTGACCGGAAGCCGGAGGAGATGCGGCGACTTGGCTTCAGAGGTGGAGACCTGAAGATGGAGCTGAGCGGATCTGGATTTGCCAAGGAAAAAGGGGAGAGTCGGGAGACGACGGGCTTGGTTAGTTTAGAGGGTATTTGAGTCCATTCAGTTTTATTTAATCTCTTTTCCGTCCAAATTAAATTGAATCCTAGTTTTGTCCAGAGGAGAGTTAGGAGTCTTCTTTCCGTCATTGTTTCATTATGGGGTTTATCTGAAGTATTACTATAATAAAATTAATGAACAAAAGTGAGACATGGCCGAATGTAACTGGTAAGTATATTTTCATAATACTACTTTTTTCGTTTCTTAAAATTTTGTCAAGTTTGATCGACACCGAGATTAATAAAGTAAAAAATGTGTGATTAAGATTTGTGTAGAGGAGATAAAATTAAATGGAACACAAATTCTTTACTTAAACAGGAAAGTGATAAAGCTAGTGGGACATCCAAAAAAAGAAAGTTGGTAAAGTGTTAAAGTGACGGAGGGAGTATAATGTAAAATTTGAATTTAATTATACAATAAAAGTTATCGTGTCGTATTTGTATCCAATATCCTTATTTCGGTCATATATATTAGGTATTTTTTCTTTCTCTTAATATTAATATTATCATTCAATTACTTTTTTTAGATCTGATTTTTGTGTAATTGGTAAATATATTTGCTAGATTAAGGACTCAGAAAAATCTTTTTCAATTGAAAATTTGAATGATATGATGTTTTTGAATAACTTTGTTTAATGTTCAACTTAAATATTAAACATAGCTCTAGGAAAATAAAAATAAACGATTAAAAATCAAAACGCCTTTTCACGCCTAATCCCCGCCTAGGCCCGCCTAGGCTTCAAAGGCCTAAGGCTTGGCTGTGCCGCCTCGACACGCCTTACGCCTTTTAGAACATTGTCTAGGATAATAGATTATTACACCCCTCAATCTGTGCGGGGGAAATAACGTGCAGATTGGATCGTAAAAATTCAAAACGTTGACTAGATAAATTTTTAGTGAAAATAACTACAAGCTGATACTGAGTAGGAACATATTTGACTATGAGGTCCCCATGAGGCACGCGTTCACGAACAAAGTGATGCTGAAACATTGTCACAATGGAGCTGAACCGGAGCAGAAATAAAAATTCCCATATCTGCTAGTAAGGAGCGAATAAAGATGGTGTCCTGTACAGTGTATGCAATTGCTCTGTATTCCGCCTCTGTAGATGATTTGGAAACAGTGGGTTGTTTCTTGGAACGCCATGAAATAAGATTCTTACCCAAGAAAATTGCATAGCCAGTGGTGGAGCGACTACGATCCGGACAGCCTGCCCAATCAGTATCAGAATATGCAACAATAAGTGATATGTGTCTGTTAGACTTAAGCCAAAGACCATATGCCACTGTGCCCTACAAATATCTGTAAATTCTTTTGAAAGCAAAAAGATGAGAGGTACGAAGAGCATGCATAAACTGAGAAACCAGATGTACGACATAAGTAATAGCAGGTCTAGTTATAGTTATATATTGTAAGGCACCTGCCATGCTGCGGTACTCAGTAGCATCAGTTAAGAGTTCCCCATCTGTAAGAGAGTGTAGTGCGAGAGGGTAAGGGAGTACGGACAGGTTTAACAGTGTGAAGATGAACACGGCGGATTAGGTCAGTGACATACTTATGCCGTGAGAGAAAAAGCCCCTGGGGTGTACGTTGAGCCTGAATGCCTAAAAAATAGTGTACATCCCCTAAATTTTTCATAGCAAACTGAGATGAGAGAGTGCGAATAACAGACTGAACGAAAGGCATGGAAGAGCCAACGATTAATATGTCATCTACATATAAAAGGATGTATACAACCTGTGACTGAAAACGGTAGATAAACATGGAAGAATCAGACTTACTCTGAGTGAAACCATGAGTTAATAAGAAGCCACTGAATCGGTGAAATCAGGCCCGCGAGGCCTGCTTGAGCCCATAAAGAGCTTTGCGCAGGCGACATACATGATGAGGGTAAGATGGATGAATGAAACCTAGAGGCTGACGCAGATACACCTCTTCAGTGAGATAACCATGAAGAAACGTGTTCTTGACATCAAGTTGGCGTATAGACCAGCTTAAGGAAATAGCAACAGATAGAACAAGACGAACTGTTTTGGGTTTAACCACCGGACTAAATGTTTCAGTAAAATCTATCCCTGCTTGCTGTTTAAACCCCTGAGCCACCAAACGGTCTTTGTGTCGCTCAACAGACCCATCAGAATGGTATTTAGTTTTGTAAATCCACTTACATCCAACCACATTTTGAGTATGATTACTAGGTACTAAATCCCAAGTGTGATTAGCAATTAATGCATTAAACTCATCAGCCATGGCAGCCCGCCAAATAATACTCTTATTAGCTTGAGTAAAACATGTGGGATCATCCGGGGGAGAAAGAGTAAAAATTTATGAATCCACGATCGAGAACTGAGACATGCTATGATCCAGGGAAGGCTGCTCCATCAGTAAAGAAACGGGCGACAGTCTGCATGTCATCGCCAGAGAGCTGCACGGAGGGAGTTTCCGGCGCTATTGTTGTGGAAGGTTGGGTCGAGGACATCGTCAATGGCAGAGATGCTGCGGACGTGCTTGCCATTGAAGACGTAGAAGTGAAGCTAGAAACCCTAGTAGTCTGATACCATATGCAAGATACTCGTCCGTATTATTTTGTGGAATGATTCGGATTTCCTAACCCCATATCTTATCTTATCTTATCTTATATAATATAAAGTAGCAAAGTTGCTAAAGTTTTTGGAGGCAAAATTCCCGCTCATTTAAAGGGTATAAGTGGAAATTAATATTATATTAATACGAATGGCAATTAATATATTCTGTATTTTATTAAAACTTCATGTCGGTATTAATATATATCACTAAAAATGGCTAGCAATTGGCAGTTGGCATAACCTTATATTACGGATGTTATTACAAAGGTAATAAATGGAAAGGTTTGCTCAAGACAATCGTGTAACTAATGGTGGGAATAAATACTTCTAATTTTGATCATAAATTGCAAAAATTTTGTTTGAAATCAAATCAACAGCTTAATCAATATATTCGTAAATGTAAATAACCAACATGCATTCAAATCAATTCGAAAAGCTAATGTACAAAAATTAATCATATTGGAAAAATCATACTCCCTCCGTCCCAGAAAATTCTTCCAAGTTTGACTTGGATCGGAGTTTAAGAAAGTGGGAATAAAGTGGAAATGTGTGGTTGTAGTTGTGTAAGAAAAAGGTGAAATGAATGTGAACCACACAAATAATCAAAAAGGTGAAGTTGGAAGAATTTTCTGGGACGTCCCAAAAAGGAAAGTTGGAAGAATTTTCTGGGACGGAGTGAGTATTTTTTTAGTCCACTTGAATGAAACATGATCGAAATGCAAAATAAGTCAAATTCTCTAAATAAGAATAGTTATTATATTTATAGACAAAAATACTCTTAGGAGGGTTTAGATTGCCATCAGACTTCTACCGTCACTGATCGCCGGAATTCTGCCGCTGCCACTGTCGCTTATCACCATAAATAGTCTACCACAGGATTACCACCGTTGGGTTGCCGCCAGAACGTGTCTGCTACCCTGCTTTTCCACCAAGGGATTGACCTTGGGTATGCAAATGAACTGGGGGATTAATTATATTAATTAATTATATTAGGGGCACAAAGATAAAGTTTAGTATTATTTAGTGAATAAAAAATCTAGAGTCTTATTTGTGCATTTATGTTTAGTTTTAGTCATATTAAGGACAATTTCTCTTTAATAAATTTGAATACCGTCGTTTTTGTTAAATGTATGATTATTCAATTTAATAAATTTGTGTGTTTTTTTGCAAAAACAAGCATAAGTTTCATTAATAATTATCCCTCAATAGGATGCGAATACAAAATGGAGGAATCTCAAAGCAAGAACAATCAGACCCAAAATAGCTTGCCTAGCGAATGAATGAGCACCCTTATTCGCTGATCGTTGCACATATTGGACATAAATATTAGCGACAGATGTCATCATGTGTCTAATATCATCTGACAAAGTTGTATCATAGGAGCATCCACCTAGGCAATTTACACCATTCACAGCCTTATGAGCATCTCAATGGCTACTGGTTCAGTAGAGCTTCCTGCAAAACTTCCCCTAAAATGCTGATGGAGTATATTCCCATCCATCAAATGCGTACTCCCTTCATCCAAAAAATTAAAGAACTACTCCGTATCTTATCTTATCTTATATAATATAAAGTCTTATATAATATAAAGTAGCAAAGTTGCTAAAGTTTTTGGAGGCAAAATTCCCGCTCATTTGAAGGGTATAAGTGGAAATCAATATTGTATTAATACGAATGGCAATTAATATATTCCGTATTTTATTAAAACTTCATGTCGGTATTAATATATATCACTAAAAATGGCTAGCTATTGGCACAATTTTATATTACGGATGTTATTACAATGGTAAATTGGTAATAAATGGAAAGGTTTGCTCAAGACAATCTGTAATTAATGGTGGGAATAAATACTTCTAATTTTGATCATAAGTTGCAAAAATTTTGTTTGAAATCAAATCAACAGCTTAATCAATATATTCGTAAATGTAAATAACCAACATGCATTCAAATCAATTCTAAAAGCTAATGTACAAAAATTAATCATATTGGAAAAATCATATTTTTTTAGTCCACTTGAATGAAACATGATCGAAATGCAAAAATAAGTCAAATTCTCTAAATAAGAATAGTTATTATATGAGATATTACCCAAAATGGGACTAAAAAAGTTTGAAAATTCCAAAATAGGACTTTCATGCTTTTATTCCCAAAATAGGACTAATTACTGCCATGTTTTGGCAGTACCAGACTTCAAACATGGCAGTATATTCCAAATTTGGCAGTAATTAGTCATATTTTGGGAATAAAAACATGACAGTCCTATTTTGGAATTTTCGAACTTTTTTAGTCCCATTTCGGGAACTTTCCCTTATTATATTTATAGACAAAAATACTCTTAGGAGGGTTTAGATTGCCATCAGACTTCTACCATCACTGATCGCCGGAATTCTGTCGCTGCCACTGCCGCTTATCACCATAAATCGTCTACCACAGGATTACCACCGTTGGGTTGCCGCCAGCACGTGTCTGCTACCCTGCTTTTCCACCAAGGGATTGACCTTGGGTATGCAAATGAACTGGGGGATTAATTATATTAATTAATTATATTAGGGGCACAAAGATAAAGTTTAGTATTATTTAGTGAATAAAAAATCTAGAGTCCTATTTGTGCATTTATGTTTAGTTTTAGTCATATTAAGGACAATTTCTCTTTAATAAATTTGAATACCGTCGTTTTTGTTAAATGTATGATTATTCAATTTAATAAATTTGTGTGTTTTTTGCAAAAACAAGCATAAGTTTCATTAATAATTATCCCTCAATAGGATGCGAATACAAAATGGAGGAATCTCAAAGCAAGAACAATCAGACCCAAAATAGCTTGCCTAGCGAATGAATGAGCACCCTTATTCGCTGATCGTTGCACATATTGGACATAAATATTAGCGACAGATGTCATCATGTGTCTAATATCATCTGACAAAGTTGTATCATAGGAGCATCCACCTAGGCAATTTACACCATTCACAGCCTTATGAGCATCTCAATGGCTACTGTTTCAGTAGAGTTTCCTGCAAAACTTCCCCTAAAATGCTGATGGAGTATATTCCCATCCATCAAATGCGTACTCCCTTCATCCAAAAAATTAAAGAACTACTCCGTATCTTATCTTATCTTATATAATATAAAGTCTTATATAATATAAAGTAGCAAAGTTGCTAAAGTTTTTGGAGGCAAAATTCCCGCTCATTTGAAGGGTATAAGTGGAAATCAATATTGTATTAATACGAATGGCAATTAATATATTCCGTATTTTATTAAAACTTCATGTCGGTATTAATATATATCACTAAAAATGGCTAGCTATTGGCACAATCTTATATTACGGATGTTATTACAATGGTAAATTGGTAATAAATGGAAAGGTTTGCTCAAGACAATCTGTAATTAATGGTGGGAATAAATACTTCTAATTTTGATCATAAGTTGCAAAAATTTTGTTTGAAATCAAATCAACAGCTTAATCAATATATTCGTAAATGTAAATAACCAACATGCATTCAAATCAATTCTAAAAGCTAATGTACAAAAATTAATCATATTGGAAAAATCATATTTTTTTAGTCCACTTGAATGAAACATGATCGAAATGCAAAAATAAGTCAAATTCTCTAAATAAGAATAGTTATTATATGAGATATTACCCAAAATGGGACTAAAAAAGTTTGAAAATTCCAAAATAGGACTTTCATGCTTTTATTCCCAAAATAGGACTAATTACTGCCATGTTTTGGCAGTACCAGACTTCAAACATGGCAGTATATTCCAAATTTGGCAGTAATTAGTCATATTTTGGGAATAAAAACATGACAGTCCTATTTTGGAATTTTCGAACTTTTTTAGTCCCATTTCGGGAACTTTCCCTTATTACATTTATAGACAAAAATACTCTTAGGAGGGTTTAGATTGCCATCAGACTTCTACCATCACTGATCGCCGGAATTCTGCCGCTGCCGCTGCCGCTTATCACCATAAATCGTCTACCACAGGATTACCACCGTTGGGTTGCCGCCAGCACGTGTCTGCTACCCTGCTTTTCCACCAAGGGATTGACCTTGGGTATGCAAATGAACTGGGGGATTAATTATATTAATTAATTATATTAGGGGCACAAAGATAAAGTTTAGTATTATTTAGTGAATAAAAAATCTAGAGTCCTATTTGTGCATTTATGTTTAGTTTTAGTCATATTAAGGACAATTTCTCTTTAATAAATTTGAATACCGTCGTTTTTGTTAAATGTATGATTATTCAATTTAATAAATTTGTGTGTTTTTTTTGCAAAAACAAGCATAAGTTTCATTAATAATTATCCCTCAATAGGATGCGAATACAAAATGGAGGAATCTCAAATCAAGAACAATCAGACCCAAAATAGCTTGCCTAGCGAATGAATGAGCAACCTTATTCGCTGATCGTTGCACATATTGGACATAAATATTAGCGACAGATGTCATCATGTGTCTAATATCATCTGAAAAAGTTGTATCATAGGAGCATCCACATAGGCAATTTACACCATTCACAGCCTTATGAGCATCTCAATGGCTACCGGTTCAGTAGAGCTTCCTGCAAAACTTCCCCTAAAATGCTGATGGAGTATATTCCCATCCATCAAATGCGTACTCCATTCATCCAAAAAAAGTTTGCCAAATTTATTTTTCTTGGTCAATGACAATCAACATTGACTAAAGATATTTTTTAATACAAAATTATTTTGAACATGAAAGTATAATATTTTTAAATTATTCACAAATATAATAATTATTTACAAGTATAATAATTATATTTAAATTATTACAAGTATAATAATTATATTACAAGTATTATTTCCATAAAAGTATAATATTTTTAAATTATTTACAAATATAATAATTAAAATGATTGTCCAAAGTTTGTCATCATATGGTAAACCTTTTCGGGACAAGGTAGTATTTTTTAATTCTAAGTTATTAAATACGGGGTAGTTTGAAGTGACTGTAAGAACACCTTCAATGCGAAAATGTGAACGGTGCATACATAGCATGAGAAACAGCTAATTAAAAAACAAAAAATGTAATATATCTCTCCTTATTTGAATGGTCGTATATGTTTTGGTAAGTTTTTTCCACAATGTCAAGAACAATGTCTAAATGTTGACATTGTGGTTGACATTATTGAGAAAAGCTTACAAAAAAGACTTTATTTCTATTAGCTTTATTCTCTCATATCACATGTGCACCGTGCATATTGTAGCATTGGAGATACTCTAAGCTTGACTTCATTTCTATTAGCTTTATTTTATCTTAATTTAACTTAATGCTGACAAGTAAATTGAAATTGATATTTATATAAAATAATTTAATTTGTAAAAGTATTACATTCAAGTGAATGTATATTTCAGCCCTTTTTAAAACCTGAAAACTATAATTCATCCTGTATTTTTTGTTACCACTCTGTGTATTCTATACTTCAGTATAATACTTTCAAGTAAAAGTTGATATTAAAAAAAACGCCAAGCTAAACCAATTTGTTCAATTACCTTTATTTGATTTCTTTTCGCTTTGGGAAATTAATTTTTATCTGCAATGAATTGTCAAATATTACAAGAAAGTTATTGTAATCTATCAATCTAGAATAAAAAAGCATGGAAAGCTTTTATCTACCAAACTTTCGAAGTAAATACTAAATAGTAAAACAGTTACCAATGGAAGTAGTTATTTAAACTCGCGCCTCATTATTCAAAGTAATTAGAATTCCTATTATGTTCATGAGAAACATTGATCAATCTTCTAGAGTATGTAATTTCTAGGACATGCCTTACTTTTCTCATGGGTAAACTGTTTTAGAGGCGAAAGTTATATACAGAAAAAATATTTGACAAAAAGTTTTAATCCCGTGATTATTTTTAATTTGGTCCCGTCAGTCAGTCACATAATAGAAGTTCTATCAAGTTTCAATGTAGGTCATTCCCAGTCATGGACAATCTTTGCATAAAGTAGACATTATCCTACAAAATCTGTTTTTACGCAGAGCAATATGTATCTTTCTATGTCCAGAGTCACCTCAAGAAGTGAGTAGAAAATTCTAATATGCAAAGATGAGAGTTGTGCAGTGTTGGCCACTAAAAATGTAATCTAAAAAACTTATGATAATTTTTATGCAACATTTAAAAAGGATTGTCCAGTATTATAAAATTTGATGATGGCTAACGAAATAAACACGTCACATTGTATTATCACGACTTTTTCATTGCCAGGTACTATTTATTCTTACAATTAACATGTGTTTTTGTCAAATGTACTTTCAATTCTTCATACGACTTGTGTTTTTCATTTTATACTTTTCTTCTATATAAAAATTACTTATTATAGGTCATCATTATAAAATATAATTTTAAATAACTATTTTACTTTAGATATTTCCGTGCATCGCAGGGGTACATCGTCTAGTATATATATAGGGGAGTAATAACAGTTTACAGTAATTACAAATATGCCCTAGGAAAATATATAGATTATTAACTGACAGTACCAAATAGATCATTAACAACAGCAAAAGGAAACGAAATAAGAAACCATTTCGTACCCATCCAATATCGTTATCTACTTGTTCTCTGTTTTTAAATTATTAGGGGAAAAAAACAGCTCTTAATTTTTTTTTTTATGTTAATACTCCCTGTCCCCAATAACTTTGCCAAGTTTGACCGATACGAGGATTAATAAAGTAAAAACTGTGTGATTGAAGTTTGTATAGAGGAGAGAGAATTAACTGGAACCACAAATTCTTTACTCAAATGGGAAAGTGACAAAGTTAATGGGACATCCAAAAAAAGAAAGTTGACAAAGTTACAAGGACGAGGGAGTATATGATTGCACAAAATAGAAGCACTACCTGGGAGTATTTCGGAAAGCATGACCCAATAATTACATTTTTATTTTTTAGATACAATAATAATAATAATTAGGATTCTTTCGAACACATAGAGCCTTCCATCTTAGCTGCATTCCCACTAGTTTTTCAGATACCTCCATCTCCCTAACATTGATACAATAGAAAGTTGTGCTATTACCAAGAAAGGTGTATTTATGTGGTTAATTTGTAATCTATAAAATAAGAATGAAGTAACAATGACTCACAACTCACAAATATTATTAAATTTAATGTGGGACAATCTTAATAGGATGGATTAAAAAAATATGTAACAATTTTAGCAAAATTATCTTAATAGGATGGATTAAAAAATATGGAACAATTTTAGCAAAATGGACGGAGTATTTGATAAGTATCAAAACATAGGCATTGCAATCATATGATTCGTTGTTTAAATCAATATGATAAGTATACATTATCCGTTTTATTTTAATAGTGTATATATCACCTATCCAACTGCTGGTTTACCCAGATGGACCATGTGACCATAGCCATTGAGAGAGGTCTATTGCTCAGATGTCTCTGCTGACTCTGCATTGTTCTAGGAATGCAACAATCAAACATCTTTACAGAAAGATGAAGAATTTCAGAGGGCAAGTGTGATTCTGTCATTCAACACCTTCATTTGCTTAGTGACATCATTTTGAAGCATATGAGTTTATGGACAAAAAAATTGTAGCTGAAATTATTCATGCACCCTCAACACACATTCACCATCCCATACCATCAGTGTTCTCTTTGTTTAATTCAAAACATTTTGTATGAGTAACTAGCTTGAACTAAGGATAATGGTGTTCCTGTCAAAACAATGTAAAGCTTCATATTCTCAGTAGATTGATAACTGTCACAAGGCGGCAGGTTACTTCAGTTGATGATGTTTAGAAAATCCCTGCAAGCACAAACGCCTTTTGACACATAAAAATGGCTGCAATGAACTCCACAGATTTGGTAGCTATTAGAAGAGATGGTTTCAAGCTGCAGTTAACTTCTCTTTTCTTTCACCCAGTCAACAAAATTGTCAAGAATAACCGGCCATGCTTGGCTTGCATCATAGCCTTCGAGGTCCGGGAAGCTTATCTACAATATTAAAATGCATCCACAAAAAACCAGCCCCTTACACAAACTTGAAAATTCTATTACAGACCAAAGTCTTGGGAAGTCAATAATGAAGTGCACAAATTAGACTAAAATAGGAAGCAGCAACAATAAAAGGTACCTCTTGGCAAAACCGAAGAAAATTTGTCCATTGATCCAAATTGAGTACCTTATAATCACCTTGACTCTGACATTAAAAAAAGGACATTTAATTTACCCCAAAAAAAGAACATTTAACTCCAACGAATTATTGGATTACCAAAAGCATATAGGATGTCACCAAAGTATCTTGTCTTCTGCACGCAGCACTTCATAAAAAATATCCCTAATCGTGCCATGATCCCTATAATAACTATATTGCTAATTTCCTATAGTCTCCGGTTAGGACAAAGGTCCACTCGTGGAATTTCTAATTCAAACTAATCTGAATTAAATGTTGAAATAGCTTCAGAAATGGGGAAAGATTAAGGATACAACCTTAAGATATTCAGTGAATGAGTTAACTTGAGCCCGGAATTGTGATCCCAAAACAAGATCTACCAGTACACATATGCTTTCGATGTCTAAGCATTTTTGTTTGTCCTCTGAAAAAAGAAGGCACACTAGTTATACACTAGAAAACAATAACTTATAGACTTAAGTAAAATTGAGTAAAAAACTGTACACATGTTGAAATTCTTCAAGTCTTACCTGTTAGGCAGTAGCGGAATGCAAAAGCGTAAAAGTCCTCAAAATTAGCAGGCATCATGACCTGTTATTGAATAAGCTGCAAATTAAATCAAACATTGTATGAACCATGTCATTCGTAGAAAGATAAAGTAGCTCAACATACCTCTGCCTCCAACTTTGGGAGTGCTTTCTTTAATTTTGTAATGGAATCAACCTGAAGAGCTTTCAAGCCTACTTGCCATTCATCCTGGGAATATAATGTTTCAACAAAAGCTATATCATTCAACAGAGAACTCAAAAGGAATGCTACTCACATAGAAGAAAGCAACACTGACAATCAAATTCAAGAGGTGTACATATGGAATACTAAAGAAGCATGTGACTTCCACAAATAACTAAATTAGCCACTCTGAAGTAATTAATTCATCGAGTAAAGCTTACAAAGATGATACTTTACCTGAGTAAAATATCCCTGTCTGTTCGCTTTCATTTTCCTGAGAATTGTAAAAGAACAGTTGCATGTAAGCAAAACACAACCCAAATAAATATAACGTGTGCACACACACACAACACATAACACCAACAACTGACTTACCAAGCAAGCATCAAAATCCTCACATCAGTATGATCTACTTCTAGATCAGCGCACAATGCCTCAACACCATCTGGACTGTTTAAAGAACGAAAACAATTGATTCAAATAAAGGTTTGATAAAACCAACCATTACGGAAAAATGTCTTTTATGAATAAAAAACTAGACAAAGTGCACCAAAACTGCCCACATGATAAAAAAAATAAGCATAAAGCAAAAAAACAGCTTTAACATTATTGAATAATAAACCACTAAATGTTTATTATTTGTGATAAAATATTACTTGAATATATTGCTCACTACATATTATACTAGTATTTATTTATTACAGTAAATTACATCTTTCCATACGGTTTTGCAATGACACCACTACATCTAGGCACGATTTTTTATAGGGTTATTGCAAATGATTCCTAACAATTGGTTCATTGTGTTTATAGAGATTTTTTATACCCTAACAAGACTATGAATATTTCATTGTCATAATGAATCTCACTATATTTTAGAGAGAATAAGAGAGAGACTGTGTGTTTGGGTGAAATTCTGAACTTAAAAAGATCATTAATAGCAGTTGAACTCAAACACTAATCATCAAGAAGAGAGAAAAAACAATAAATGCTAAACTAGTCACTGGAATCTTTCTAGCGTTAAATTACTTCACAGTTATAAAAAGAAAATATGAAGCGTGTTATATAATATTGGACTATATCGCAAGATGGAAGAATAACTTGTAAAAAAATAAGCAACATCATCATTAGCACAAAGAAAGGGAATAAAAACATGAAACAGCATAAATGTATACAAGGAGTTAAGAAAGAAAGTGCTTACTCAATTATACCCAATGATTTGTTAGCATATAAACTGAAAAGGTTATCTATGCATTCTGTCACTTTTGATGCGGCTTTCCCTTTGCTCGAGGCTAAACTACATTGTGAGAGATGTAGTAAGTAAGGCAGCAACTTTCAAGTTTCAAAGGGTGTTGCCATGTTTGAACTACACATTAGCACCTTAATATCTAACTTGAATCTATATCATTTACATAATCTTGAAAATCAATTATAAATGTATCCAGTATTTCAAGGAAAGAGCTCAATGGGCGTGCTATTTGTGTTCATGATAATTTCATATGCACTTGTTGTCCGCTGCAGGGCTGGGAGCCTGGTACAATAAAATATCATGCATGGAAATTCTATGCTATGCCGACATGATCTGTACTGATGGTGATATCAGATAACAAATGAGTTTTCCTTGCATAGCTCTAAAACCAAAATAGACAGAGATTAAATTCATACATAGATCTAACTAATTAATGAATAAAACAATTTTCATATCAAGTGTAGCCCAAGCAAGTAATAGCATATGTATGAAAGATAAGTACGAGCAGCAAATGCATCTTAAATATTTAAGAGAAACTGAAGGATTCTAATCTGGGGAGTAATTGTCGATATTTCACCCTCCTATTATCAAAAGGACCAACATTTCACTTCTTTGAAGAACCAGAAGCCATTGTTATGACTAAAGGACAGTATTTTTTTTGGCAAATACCTAAAGAACAGTATTAAATCGCTTGGGCATAAAATTTTGATCCAAAATCTTTCAGCACAAGCTTAAACTCATCTAATTAACCCAATAAATCTCACGCTTTCGCGAGAACCAATTACAGCTCTCTATGCAATGCGGCATCCAGCAAATACAAAACCATCATCACAATTACGGAAGGAAAAGTGAGCTAAAATGGTGCCAACAATTGAATTCAAACATTCTGTACAGGGAAAAGAGGGGATTACCGGAGCGAACAGAATCAACTTTAGGAGCCTTGGCAGGGGCGGATTTTGTGGGATTAGCTTTTCTCTTGGATGCGCGAGGAGGCATTGTTGAAGGGATTTTGTTCCGGTTTCTTGATTGGGTTTCTGGGGAGGGTTTTGAAATGAAGCAGAAGTGGAACGGTATACGTTGGATCTGCGTTTCCCCTATATAGGCCGCGCCTTAGAGATAATTCATATTCATCTCACGTAGTTTTTATGGGTGGATGGATGCTTCTCACCATTTTAAGTGGGAAGCTTTGGGGGCTATATATATAGGGCTTTTGACATACTTCTATTAAACTATCTATACGGGAAAAAATAAAGGGAAAAGGTGCAAATAGACTCATGTACTAACAAAAAAAAAGTTCAAATAAGCCTTTATTTATGAGACTTTGTCCAGCCGTCTCCATTTGGGTTGGTTCCCAGTGGAATTTTTTGATGGAATTTTTTGAGCATCTTATTCATTAACTCTAGTTTACTCATACAAAATTTCAGCTAAAACTTCAATCGGGAAGGCATTCAAATGAATTCTTGAAAATAATTGCACACTTAGAAGCGCATTTATCTTCAAGAATTCTTTTCAATGTCTTCCCGATTTAAGTTTTAGCTGAAATTTGATATGAGTAAACTAGACTTGATGAATAAGATGCTCAAAAAATTTCTTCAAAAAATTCCACCGGGAACAACCCCAAATGACAACGGCCGGACAGAACCTTCTAAATAAGGGCTTATTTGACCTTATTTACATATTCTACTTTGACTATATTTTATTAATTATTGTATTATAATTTAAATTTTTGAAAAATATTGTTAAATTCTTCTCATTCTAAATTTTGAAAATATGAATTTTTTAAATTTTTTACTAATAAGGAATGGAGGATATTAATGGTCAAACTTGTGCGTTGGCAAACGTTAAATGTTGACTGTTGCAATTAAAAGGGAACAGAGGAAGTATTTGATTGTGAGTGTAGTAGTGCTTCTAAATGTTCTAAGAGCATCTCCAATGCTAAAACGTGAACGATGCATACGTGGCATGCGAGATAGCCAATAAAAAATAATAAATAGAATATCTCTCTCCTTATTTGAAGGATTTTGTATCATTTTGGTAAGTTTTTCTTCACAATGTCAAGCACAATGTCTAGATGTAGACATTGTACTTGACATTGCAGAGGAAAACTTACCAAAAACACATAAAACCGTGAAAAGAGTGAGAGAGAAATGTCATAAATACATTTTTTGTGTTTATCTCTCTCATGCCACATGTGCACTGTACCGTGTACATTATAGCATTGGAGATGTTCTAAATCGTTCTTACAAGTATTTTTAAGAAGTTATGAAAATTGACAAATTTTAAGGGTTGGAGGGAATAGCACTTTCCATTCAATTTTGCTCCTAGCAGTCGCTCCTCCTTAGCGGCTTAGCCATCGCGTAGGGTTTTGTCTCCCTAACGGCTTTGCCGTCGTGTAGGATTTTCCTTCCGCCAAATATTTGTGCGGTTCTTGTTCTCTAGGCTTCTAAAGTTCTTTTGATTGTTGGTTCTGGTTTTCGGATTTAGACGACTTTCATATTACCATCGGATCTCAAAGCAGCGACAAGATTTCGTATTTGTTTTCTCATCTCTTTTCTCGACTTGTGCAAGTTCAATTTTAAGGGAGGCGTGAGTGCGGTTGCAGCTTTTGGAAATGAATCCAAGGTTCAAGAAACGATAATAATGTCTTCTATGGGTGATCTAGAGCACCGTTGTCTGATTCCTGCAACAGAGGAGGAGGTTGAAGGGTTACTTTCTGGCGAATCAACATGAGTTGAGGGCGGTGGTGGTAATGGAGGCGAAATGGGTGACGAGAAGACGGGGAGAGGTGCAGGGCTGAGCAAAGGAGACAGATCGACGCCCCCCCCCCCCCCCCCCCAAACCGCCGACTTGGAGCAATTGAGGTGATAGGTTTTGGAAGATTTATTAGTTATTTAGTTTTTTATGGTTTTAAGCCCGCGTTGTGTTTTACCACTTTTACGTTGCTCTGTTTTTTGTTGATGTCTTTAGTTTTATGTCTACAATAATAATTGACAATTTCCTGCTAGACATTATGTTGTTAGAAGGATCTATTTAGCCTGTGATTGTCGTGTCACGCCCGCTTGGTGGTTAGCGATTCGTATTGCTCTTACACGGGTGATCGTCTCTGAGTCTAGCTATAGGGTCGATAGTGCTTGTTGGTTACGGATAATTGTTATCAGTATTGGTCTTTTTGAGTTAGTTGTAACGATCTGATTCTTACTGATTTCAATATAAGCATTTTGTTTTGATAATAAAAAAAAGGGATAAGGGTCAGATAGGGCGTCAAACTTGAAAAAAAATGTCAAATAAGGCCATATTTAGGATGCTCTGTCCGGCCGACGCCATTTGGGGCGGTTCCCGATGGAATTTTTTGATGAAATTTTTTGAGAATCTTATTCATTAAGTCTAGTTTACTCATATCAAATTTGAACTAAAACTTCAATCGGGAAGGCATTCAAATGAATTCTTGAAGATAATTGTGCAGTTAAAAGCGCAGTTATCTTCAAGAATTCATTTGAATGCCTTCCCAATTGAATTGTTAGTTCAAATTTGATATGAGTAAACTAGACTTAATGAATAAGATTCTCAAAAAATTTCATCAAAAAATTCCACCGGGAACCGCCCCAAATGGCGTCAACCGGACATAGCATCCTAAATATGGCCTTATTTGACATTTTTTTCCAAGTTCGAGGCCCTATCTGACCCTTATCTCTAAAAAAAATCAAATTTCTCCTCGAATCCAATGTAAAATCATATGCGGACATTATCATAGACATTGTCTAGAATTTATTTATATCTCTCTCATATTTTTTTATTTTTTCTCTATATTGAATAATCTTTTTATCTCTATCTCTTTTATGATACAAAGGATGGACTTCACTACATTACATTGTTTTATTGGAGATGCTTTAAATATATGGACATCATAATATTCATACACCTATCCCATTGGAGGTCCCCAACTTTGTTTTGGACGTCAAATGGGAATATAAAAAATTGTAATTAAAATTTGCAAAGCAAAAAAATAAAAGTTGAATAACAAAATCAATATAAAAAGGTGACAAAAATTTCAGGACAAACAGAAAAGAAAATTTACAAAGTTTTGTGGGAGAGAGAGTGTTTTTTAGTGGGTGAGGTAAGGTGATTTTCTGAGTGAATGTAAAATTTAAACAAAATTGTGCGTAAATTATTTTTTTAAGGAAATAATCTATATTAAAAGTAACAAATCAAGCAACATTAAAATAGACTCATCATAACAATCTCAGGCATAAGCTCAATGATCAAACTTTGAATCTGTCACCCATAGACGAGCCGCAGAAGTCGCTAATCATGTAATGGACAAATTGAAGCTTAATATCACCATGTAAGTTTTCATGGTTCTATCGTGATTTAAAAAACTTACAACTCTACCAAAATCAAACCAATGTAAGAAAAAATATAGAAACAAGTCATTCGTTTTTAGTTATGTCGCATCGTAGCTTGATTCCATTGGACCTGGAGATTTGTCTCGACTGTCTGAAAACCAGTGATATTTGTTTCAATCTTGTACTTAATAATTTAATAAAAATCTCGTACTACTCTTTCCTGCTGTGGCGGTGATTCTAGTGGAGGGCTGATCAATGGTGTCATCGTAGATGGGTTGAGAAGCATTATTGAATTTGAGAAAAATATATCTAAATCTTGATGAATAACATCAATAGCAATTGAAAAATAGCATAACTCCGTGAAAGCACTTGCATCATTTATTTGAGAAGAAACCACTCATAGAATGACTCTAAAAATTGACAGATGAAGAAGAACCCTAAAAATTTTAGGGAATAAAACACCACTTATACAAGTGCACAAACCACTTTTTTTTACTTACGTATAAACTCCGTATTGTGAAGACTAATTCTCCTCCGACATTCAAACTGAGAGAAGCAACGCATGAACCGATAGTGATTTGGAATACGAAGTATTTTCAGCTTCAATAGATTCAGGCCACTTGAGATGGCGACGGTCTATAGCAAAGCCAACGACAAAATGTTGACACTAGAACAAAACATTAATATTAAGTGGGCAATTAGTATAAGGATATAATAGACATTCTATTTATATTTAATTAATTGATTTTAATTAGGGGCTGTGAATAGCAAATTAGAGGTTGCATTTAAAATTTCCTGTTTAATATTAAAGGATTTAGTACACAAAAAAGGGGTTTGATAAAAAAACATTTCTAAGGATGTGCTTACTTCACTGCTAAAGTCACAATTAAGTTAGTAAGAAATGTGAAGTAAACATGTAAGCTGGTAAAAAAGACGCTTAGGACATGTTTACTTCACAGGTTACTAAACGGCGCTTATTAAGACACGCTTAATAAGTGGCGCATAAAATAAACAATGTTGTAAGATCGTGTTTACTTCACAGGGTCTAAAACATGCTTTTTCCCCCATGTTTACTAAGCACAAGCCTCGGCATCCATAATATCCATGCCTCGGCGCACCAAATCGAACATGTAGCGGTCTATCCAAAAAACCACGGCATCCATAATATCCATGCCGCGGCCTTCTACTCAGAAAGTAATCAAGTGATGCGGGTATAAACTGAAAAGAATTTTATACACCACATGCTTGATTTTTGCAATGACTTCCTCTTCCTTGACGTCCCCTTCATCAAATCGGTTGGCATTCCTAGCGTGCCAAAGGTAGTAGACCGCGGCACCAAACGCAATCCGGATAGCCTTCCCTTTAATCTTTGATCCCTTGCGATCCTTCAAGATCCATTTCACAGAGCTGCTTAGCGTGGTCATCTCTCGAGTCATGCCTAACCATTCCTTAATTTTTTTCCAGACCCTACAGGTGTAATGACATCGAAAAAATAGGTGTGACATTGTTTCCAATCCACCCTTGCACAGGTCACAACGATTAACAATATGTAGGTAACCAAGGCTATCCTGTGTAGGTAGCCGGTTCCTCATAGCAAGCCAGACGTTGAATGAGAACTTCAGAGAGATATAAGACTTCTAAATGAAGCTCATACATACTCTCGGCGTCCCTTTAATTCTCAACAACTCATAAATTTTTCCGGAACGGAGTTTACCATTTAAGGATCTGCTATTTAGGCCCATAATGGTATCATTCAAATTGTTAAAGCATCCCAAAATTTGATCCCGGATGTGACTCAATTTCTTCATGAACATTGAGTC